TTTGGCTATACGACCTCATTCACATTCTCTGCAGTTCCATGGGATATAGCTGAAGATTACGACCTCGTGGTTCCTGGTGGTCCCATTAACGGAGATGACATCCTGTTATATCTCCCTGGCCACTTGATGTTTTTCAAGCACTCAACCTTTGTTCTCGAGGAGTTCATGACTTTTCCTAACTTTAAGACAGTGGACGCTTTCTTGAACCTGCCTTGGATTGGCATCTCAGCCGGTACGTTAAAACCTCTTGTTATCCTAATCATCTGATATTTCCCTTTCTTCCTCAAACAGAAGAATCCGAATATTCTCACTTCGCATTTACAAATCCCAACCTCACTTTCCTCCGGTTCGATGCCATGACTACAACCCCATACCACATCTCGTCGCCTGGTACTGGTATCTACAATATCGCCAACGATGCACAGTGGGACCTTTGGACGGAGAAGCCTGTTCCGAGCAGTGCAGAATCGCGTGTAGTCATCACGTCTGTCGTTCGTGATTATGTCCGGGGTTGGAAGCCCCGGCCATCCTTTACGGAAGAAGGCACAGAGTATGAGGTTAAGCTTCGAGAAGGGGAATGGCCTCGTTATACTTGGTTCCCACTTGAATATGCTGTGGACTTCGCGACTGATTATGATAAGTTTCAATTTCGGGGCAGAAGGTCACTATATTTTCATTCTCACTTTTTGTATGACATCAATTGACGACTGCCTCCAGGTTCATCTATCGTCGCGTTGCTGGGGGTCCTATCTTTGACCGTCAAGAAGACGATCAGATCGTACTCTTCCCTCCATCTATCCCGTCTGACTCATTCCACAACCGCCACAACCGCCCTTATCTTCAAGAAATGTTGTACAATCATTACCAGGCCGAGAAATATGCAGGTCAGGACTTAGCTTTGATTTTTCCCTTGAAGTTCGTTCTAACATTTTATAACAGATTGGTGGTCTCTACCAGAAGAAGCTCTCCAACCCAACGAACTTCTTGTCATCGGCAAAGTGAAAGGCGCTCAAATATGGGATTTCGACAGCCATGTACATTTTGATACCGGCCGCAAGGCCAAGGCCCTTGGCGCTGGAAGAATGAAGAAGTGCCATGGAAAATATTGTGGCAGAAAGTCTGCGTCAGGACACTAATCATCGCCGCCGTGAACGACAATTATTTCCCAGCTCGTTTGACCTACACACCTACCCATAATGAACCACACTCACTCCACAAACACACACAACATGATTTATCTCTAATACTAAAACGGACATAACGGATATGATAGACTTATAGCATCCAAAAGACTTGTTGTCTCACATTGCTATCATATCCGACGGTGCCTTATACTTCTGTTTTTCATCCTGACAGTTCGATGTCTTCCGATTCTATTGTCTGTTTAGATTTTTGTCACATATAGATTGTACCTGTACTTACATCGCACTATAATTTAAATAGAGCACCAGGCCCGTTCCATTCTTGAGCGTAGCTTCACTTACCTGGGAATAGTTCTCGTAGAAAAGCCCCAGAAATGAGGGCCGAGTTCAGCTTACGTACAGAAATGAGATAATCTTTGACCCTCACTGCTGGCACGCTACTCTCCAACCTGTAAAATGCCCCATCTGCCTTTCGAACTATACCAGAAAATCGTACACGAACTTCATCACGATCCTGACACTCTAAAGGTCACTTCGCCAGCATCTCGAACATTTTCATTTCTCTGCCAACAACTTCTCTTTTCATCCATTATTATCCGTTCACCTATTCAATGTTGCAGCGAGTACTACAAATTTGGTGGACCTTCTTCGGCTTTCAAAAATCTGCTCCAATCTTCACCTCACATTGGGGGCTATGTTCGCTGCATAGAGATTTTCGACTGGCCTGGGTGGACAAGCGCCGAGTCCTTGGGATGTCCTAGGCATCCGCGCTGGACCGTTAAGGCTCATTGGATAAGAGATGACTTGAACCTACAGTTCTGTCTTCCATTGCTGAAGCAGCTTGAAGCTTTCACCCTGACCTATCGTCGTGCCGCCGACAGTGATCTAATATGGAACGATTTGCCACCGTCGTTGGTCTCTGCGATTCAACGCGTTCTACAACTTTCGTCCCTCATTTACGTCGACATGGAGCACACCCCATTATTATCCTTGATGCAACATGCCGACGGAAACATCAAACACCTAGTCATACACAATGAGACAAGAGATTTTGCCTTGGAGAACACTGCGGTTTCCGTGGCGAACCGCCCGGCTGTTCATCTCGAGTCGCTTTGCATTCAATTACCGTGTCTTATAAAAGGCGTTGAAGAGGCGCTGTTTGATTCAGGGTTCCTGAAAAGCAACATTTCTCTACGCCATCTGAAGAAGCTGGCCTTGAATCTAGACGGGACGCTGGCTGAACATGTTCCTGTTTCGAACCTCCTTCAAGAGTGCGCTAGCTCACTAGAGGAGATCATTGTGTGCCCTGGTCTAGATGGTGAGCCCTATCTTGCCGATGCACTGGTAGAGGAGCTGAAGCTGATTTGTTTCTATTTTCATATAGCATCGGAAGTGGACCCAGACTTGCATAATCTCCAACCCGTAGACCTCAGCAAAATGAAATCGCTCAAACTATTATCCGTCTTCCTCGAGTTCTCCAACGAAGGCATTGGGTTCATATACAATCAAGTTCCTTGGTTCACCAACCTCCTACGTAGTTGCTCGAAAACAAACGAAGCTTTGGAGGAAATTATTGTCACATTTGACATAGAATACAAGCCAGAAGACGATCTTCTCGGTCCGTGGAACGCAGTCGCGGATGTTATTCTAGATGTAAAATACCCGAAACTGCGACTTTTAAAGATCACCTTCATTTCCCGGTATAGTCAAGGTGCCAATGTCGTGGCCTTGTTTGAAATGTCGGACTTTGTCAAGAGACTGAGATCAAAAAAGGACTTCGTTGTTGAACTGCAGCATTGTTTTCGATGTGAGCTAATATTCTTTGCTTTTTGAGTTTATCGAATTGACAATGTGATTTATATTCTTAGCCACGCCTTTTGTATCATACTTTATACCAAATCCAAGCTGGCTTCGGCTTATGCATAGACAGCAACCAGATCATGATCTAGCTAACTGGATATGAGGAACTTTTTGGCATGGGCGTCTCTCACTTTTGTTTTAACGACTTTCGAGCTACAAAAAAACCGTCTTGTTAGCCGTGATGAAAATTAAATACATTTTTCATACTCACGTCATGGCTCCATGCACAAGTAGGCGGCAGAATACTAGCTGGTCAAGGAGTAACCTCGGTCCATTCGATGAAAGACGGACCTCGGTCTGTAGTTTCGAAGGATGCAAGTCCCTTGCCACCAAGTTTCATATTGCGATAAATCCTAGTTGCTAGTATGCTCGTCAAAGTCATATCAGGAAAAGCTAGCGCTATCCGTAGGCTGGTTAACGACGGCACGGCGATGCTGGCAATGATGATGACGACTTCCGGAAGTTTAACACAGGCTACGAGGCTGAGTGACAACATGATTAGCACCCCAGAATGCAAAAATCGAAGGAAAATCGTACCTCACGTATAGCTGGTTATCTCGTAAGAACCTATCGGACATTCGGGTTATATATCCTTGCCCCCAGCCAAGCCATCGCTGCCAAAACCGTCTGCGAGGATCATGGAGGCGGCCTGATCCAATTCCGTACGTCACAGCGACACAAACAAGTAGGTCGAAGAGGCCGTCCGACACAGGAATAATGACGAGCCAAGAGAAGCCATTAGCTTGGAACGTACAGTAACCTGTTGAAAGTGGAGACACTTTTGAGCTAAAGAACCCCAAGCATGCTCCTCCAGCTGCTATTAGCCAAAGAAATCGGAAGACCCATAGAAAGATTGGTCTATCATGATAAACGGCCTGAACGCGTGCGTAGAAAAGAGTGTTGGTGCTGACACGGTAAAGGAAGTAGAAGGTATTGGGGAGCGATCGGTATAGGGTACAATTGCCAAGAGGATAGGCTGCACATATCGTGAGGCTGCCGATCTACGCCTTGTATGTTTAAGGGGACTTACTGAATAAAAGGACACTGAATAGCTCTGCAAGAAGTGCTGAGATTCTGTAAATGAGACCTTCATTAACAAAAGTCACATTACAAACATGTATTCGGTACCTTGAGACCAGGAAGACAGTGGTCATGAAGGTAATCCGGCGAGTAGAAAGTAGCTCAAAATCTTGTCTCGCAGAATTAACAATGTCCCATACCAAAATCTAGAACGTCCCTCTTGAATTAACGAGTCTAGATCAGGTAACAAAATCTTGACTTACTGAGAAACTGCCTACAACAGTGTATTCATCGAAAGTGATGAATGCTCCAACATTCGCGGGCATGAACGCTTTTGGCGTAAACGGATTTGGCAACATCGAAGGACTGGGGGACGCGCTTGTGGCATTTGTTTTGATCTCGAGAAACATGATACTTATGTTGTGGAGCGAAGTCTGAATATACTGTATAAGCTTATTTTATGCATCTGCAGCGAATGCGGCCTCTCTGTATCCCTCGAGGTCACCTCGAGGTCTAGAACTGAATTGCTATGACTTACTGCAATGGCATTTAGTCATTTAGACTGTAGATGTTGGCTAAAAGAATTTGAAAACGATGAAATGAATCAAGATGAACAGCCATCTCCAGAGAAATTCCCGGAATTCAATTGCGCAACGAAGTGGTGGTGGAAGGTGTGAAAGAGAAAAGCGTGGAAATTACGAGGTTCTAGACCGGCCAATATCATATAGTTTCGCCAAAGCTCCTCGTTCCCCAGAAGCCTGCGCAGAACTATGTTTCTCGGGCAAGATTAGCCAATTCCAGCATGATGGCCCTTAACCATAAACGATCATCAACTTTCGATCGCATACCAGGTTAGACGCAAGTAAGTGGTAACTTACAGCTTTCATCCAAGTAACATGAACATTCACTGGTGGTGGCTGATAACTGATGTACTACTAGTACGTCGTCTGGTTTGTTTTATAAGAGGAGTTCTAATCTGGTGCTATAGTGTAGTGGTTATCACTCAGGATTTTGACGAACTTCTGTTCAGAATACACTTTCCTGAAACCCAGGTTCGAGCCCTGGTAGCACCTCGTTTTGTCACCTCATAACTATGATTTTTGACAAAGACCGCAAGACACAGTCTTACTTTGTACGTGTATTAACCTCGTTTTTCTTGTAGGCTACAATGTATCTGGGAGTCTAGACTCTAAATATGTTTAGCGCCGACAATTAAAGTTATGTCATGTCGTAAGGTTTGCTATCACAGATCCTCCTGCAAAGGATGTTACATAATGCAGCGAGTTTGAAGCATGCAATAGTATTAGATAGAGCAACGAAGACACGTGCGTATTTTACGATTAGATTAGATCGTTCTCTGCTTAAGGCCACTGCAAGGCGACGGAACTCAACCTTTATTTCTTCCACGAGCCGCTTAAACTCTCAAGCACTTCCGCACGCAATGTCAGGAGTTGTTAATGTGTTTGTTATCTCCCCCGACACACACTCTGAGCGTCGCATTGATCCACATCTTACTGTTGAAGCGCTCAAGGTATTAAAAGCGCCTTTGAGCGCTACATCTCCTCATACGTTTTTTTTTATTAGGGAAAACTCGAATCAATCACTGGTATCCCGGTTTCAAATCAATCGCTGACGTTGCTAGCTTCTGAGTCGGACCCTCGAGTGGTGGCTCATTTGAGTGACGACTCGAAGAAGCTAGGATTTTATGGCATAGCAGATTGGCAAGTAATTAAGGCGAGTGCTTTCAAAGATAATGGGATGAACAAATTGACAATCGTTAATTAGGTGGTAGATACTGATCCGTCGACCAGTTTTACTGGACAATTGACGGATGTCAGTCAAGTCTACAAATTCGAAATCACAGATTCAGAATACGCCAAGCGTCAAGGTATATATCTATGATCATGAGAGTTAAGCTACGTGAACTGATATAGGTTTAAACAGATTCAGTTCTAGCATACAAACAAAGAAATAAAGTGGGCCGATTTGCAGACAAACCGGCCGAGGAAGAAACTGCGACAAGCGAGGACATCCCTGCTGGCGCGAGATGCGAAGTTGAATCGACGGAGCCTGGGCTGAAGAAACGAGGCACCGTTAGGTTCTTTGGACAGACCAAATTTGGAAAAGGTACTTGGGTTGGTGTCGAATATGACGAACCATTTGGCAAAAACGATGGATCGTGAGTTTACTTCATACACAGTTTAATGTTGTGCTCGATCTGAGATCATTGTCCAGGGTCCAAGGTGAAAGATATTTTTCATGCAGACAAAATTACGGTGTATTTGTGAGACCCGACAAGTTAAAAGTCGGAGATTTTCCGCCCGAAGAGCTGAACCTTGAGGATGACGAGGAGATGTAGAATTACAAACCCATTTGTACAGCTAGAAAGCGGTCGAAGGCGCACGAAGGTGCCAAATTTGGGACAGCCACGTGTTTGTCATTGTTATTCCCCCTACAAAGGACGCGCGTCCCCTTTGCTCTTGGGCTTTTATATCGCTGGCGTTTGCTTGATCCTGAACACCCATTACCCTCCGTATTCTTGAATATTCAAAATGGCAGACCCCAGCGGTGCAGCTCCTCAACCGGGCCCTGATGATATCTCAACAGCTATCTTGCGGCCAAAGAAATCGTGGGTCTTTATCGCGTTGCGCACTTCTTGATCTAAACGCGCTTATTTGCGTGTAGGCCCAATCGTCTCATTGTGGATGAGGCGACTGCAGACGACAATTCAGGTAGGCTGGTCTATGTGGAAGTATACCCTTACACGATGTACTGATCATGGGGAATAGTCGCAACTCTTAACCCCGCAACGATGGAACTTCTCCAGCTCTTCAGGGGAGATACCATCATTGTTCGGTGCGTATTTTGACTTTTAGGTGTTCGCGTAATTAATACTTCGTTAGTGGCAAGAAGAGGCGCGACACCGTTCTCATTTGCTTGAGTTCGGATGATGTCGAGGAAGGCCGCATTCAGCTGAACAAAGTCGCTCGCAACAATCTACGAGTAAAACTTGGTGATCTCGTCAATGTCCACCAATGTCTGGATATCAAATACGGCAAACGTGTTCACGTTCTTCCATTCGACGACTCCATTGAGGGTCTTAGCGGCAATATCTTCGATGTATATCTTAAGCCATACTTCCTCGAAGGTACGCGTCACTGTCCTGAGTCAAACCCTAATCGCTGATTGATCTTCCATCACACCCAGCTTACCGACCTGTGCGCAAGGGCGACACGTTCCTCGTGCGGGGAGGAATGCGGACGGTGGAATTCAAAGTTATTGAGACCGACCCAGCAGAATTCTGCATTGTTGCGCAGGACACAGTGATTCACACTGGTGCGTCTATCAGTATCACTCACGAAAAGTACAATCTGATGCACTACCAGAGGGCGACCCTGTCAAGCGCGAAGACGAAGAGTCGAATCTCAATGATGTCGGATACGATGATATTGGTGGCTGCAGGAAGCAAATGGCTCAAATTCGAGAATTGGTCGAACTCCCTCTTCGTCATCCTCAGCTCTTCAAATCTATCGGTATCAAGCCTCCAAGAGGTATTCTTATGTTTGGTCCTCCTGGAACTGGTAAAACGTTGATGGCTCGTGCTGTCGCCAACGAGACTGGTGCTTTCTTCTTCCTAATCAATGGTCCGGAAATTATGTCGAAGATGGCTGGAGAGAGTGAGAGCAATCTCCGGAAAGCATTCGAGGAGGCGGAGAAGAACTCGCCTGCCATCATCTTCATCGATGAAATCGATTCGATTGCCCCCAAGCGAGAAAAGGTGAAGTCCACTTTTTCAAGGGTACGAGTACATAACTGAATAAAATTCCTGATTAGACGAACGGAGAAGTCGAACGTCGTGTTGTTTCGCAACTCTTGACCCTCATGGATGGCCTGAAAGCTCGTTCAAATGTCGTCGTTATGGCCGCAACCAATCGACCCAACTCGATTGATCCTGCTCTGAGGCGTTTCGGTCGCTTCGATCGTGAAGTTGATATTGGCATTCCCGACCCCACTGGACGTCTCGAAATTCTTCGTATCCACACCAAGAACATGAAGCTCGCCGACGATGTTGATCTCGAACAAGTAAGCATTCTTTGAGTGATTTTGATTTTCCTGGATTTACGCACTTCTTCATAGATTGCTGCCGATACCCATGGTTATGTTGGTTCCGACGTCGCATCGCTATGCTCAGAAGCCGCCATGCAACAAATCAGAGAAAAGATGGACCTCATCGACCTCGACGAAGACACTATTGATGCAGAGGTCCTCGATTCTCTTGGTGTCACCATGGAGAATTTCCGTTTCGCTCTCGGCACATCCAATCCTTCTGCTCTTCGCGAAACCGTTGTTGAGGTTCCTACCGTCACTTGGGACGATATTGGTGGTCTCGAGAAAGTCAAGCAGGAGCTGCAAGAGACTGTCCAATACCCTGTCGAGCATCCCGAGAAATTCCTTAAATACGGTATGTCGCCATCGAAGGGTGTCTTGTTCTATGGCCCTCCTGGTACTGGTAAGACCATGCTTGCCAAAGCCATTGCCAACGAGTGTAATGCCAACTTCATCTCCATCAAGGTCAGTTTAAGTGTTTTGGCATCAATGAATAATTCTAACTTTGTTTATGCTATCAGGGTCCTGAGCTTCTTACGATGTGGTTTGGTGAATCCGAAGCTAATGTTCGCGATGTCTTCGACAAGGCTCGTGCCGCCGCTCCTTGCGTTATGTTCTTCGATGAGCTGGATTCCATTGCCAAGGCACGTGGCGGTGGTGGCGCCAGTGGTGATGCTGGAGGTGCCAGTGATCGAGTGCTGAACCAAATTCTCACGGAGATGGACGGTATGAATGCCAAGAAGAACGTCTTCATCATTGGTGCAACCAATAGGCCAGACCAGATCGATGCTGCCCTTCTCCGACCTGGTCGTCTTGATCAACTTATCTACATCCCTTTGCCCGACGATGTCTCCCGTACATCTATTCTTAAGGCTTGCCTCAAGAAATCACCTGTCGCTCCTGAAGTCGATATCAACTTCTTGTCCAAGAACACTCACGGCTTCTCTGGTGCTGATTTGACCGAAATCTGCCAACGGGCGGCTAAGCTTGCCATCCGCGAGTCCATCGAGGCTGACGTCAAGCGGGCTCGCGAGAAGAAGGAGAAGGGCGAGGATGCTGATATGGACGAGGAAGAAGATGGTGATGTCGAAGATCCTGTTCCAGAAATTACAAAAGAGCACTTCGAGGAAGCCATGAAGTTTGCTCGCCGTTCAGTGTCCGACCAGGATATCAGGCGTTACGAGATGTTCGCTCAGGTTCGTATTTTGTCTGACAAAATTGTGTTCTCGAAGCCAAAGCTGACTTGCTGTGTGATTTATAGAACCTTCAACAAATGCGTGGGTTTGGAAACAACTTCAAGTTCCCTGAAGGTAGTGGAGGCGCCGCCCCTGAGGCAGCCGCCACTGGCAATGCCGGGTTCCAGGAAGATAACGCTGATGACGACTTGTACGCTTAAAATCTCGCTTTGGTCTATTTTGTTTCTCTCCTCTACGCATGTGCCATTAGCATCTTTCCTACTACTATAACTACTGTTCCATACTGCTCTCTAGCCATGAATATCAAGATTTTAGAAATCTAATCCTGGAAGGATGATGAATAGTCGCGTGGGAGCAATGTGATAACACTTTGGCCGGTTTACCGGCTACTTGACGGGTTTGAATTTCATCCCTCTATTGACTCCATCGTATACTTTTTGAACCCTCCTTTCTTTCCGACAGTTATCCCCTCTCCCAGACGATCTTTAAAGCTTCAATTTTTGAACTTTTGTGAGAGCACCTCGGGGTGCTGAAGAGACCTTGTTGTAACCTCACTTCACGCTGCCGTCATCCACGATGATGTCAATGTCTGCAAGCCTTCACCCAGCGACGGAAGAGAAACAGAGACAACAAGCGCTCTCAGAGAGGCCTGGTCCAACACGTTCTTTATCGGCCAGCACTCTTAGAGATAGGTTATCTAAGCTTGCTGCGACACCCCTGGTCAATGTGCATGTACCCAACCCAGTGGCTGCTCTGCAGTCAAATGTCGA